ATTTTTTTTTCTTGTTTGTTTGTTTGTTTTATGGTAAGATTCACAAAGGCCAATAGTTCATTTTGAGTATATTTATATTTTCCACACCATTCCTTCAAAGGACTCATGCACACATGTTTTCTTTTTCATTATTATTATTTGATTAGCATCCTGGTCATCGGGTTCACTGTTACTAACCGGCCCTGATATAGCGGGGAATTTTTCTGGGAGCATGCTGTTTCTTTAGTCCTTCTTCATATAGTGCCGACCAGTATTGTTGGTAATTGGCCTGTTTCAAGTTCAGCACTTTATTAGAGACTGATAACATTTTTGTTCTGTACGTGCAGTCTGGGAGAGGGAAAAAAATTACAACTATGTTAAAAAAGTGGAAAAATTACAATATATAGTTATTGTATAGACTGGCCCACATATGTATGTAAGGAATACATGAAAATGATGTGAATCAGACTGAGCGTCATTCTCCTAATTCTCAATACGTTTTTAAAGCATTAGACAAACGTCACTGATTTCTCCTGTGCACCGTCCTGCCAACATCAACAAGACAAGTGCCTCATATTGGAGCCGCAGAAATGTGTGTTGTTACACGTGCAAAAGTTCAATGCAAGATTAAAGAGGATGTCTTTATGATCTTACATGATCTGACTATTTTCTAAATACTAAAAAGTTTGTGTTGACTTGGTTGCAGCTGAAATGATACCATACACCCATTTATGTCATTACCCATGCATACAGAACAGGTTTATATACGCCTCAGGAAGAGCAGTGCATCATCTATCAACTTCTAGAGTTGTTTATACCTCCAGTTTGGGGCCCTCTCACACAAATATATGCATTATATACAGAAAGTTGTCTCTAAAAAGCATCACAAGGAAACACCCTAATATTCAGTGTGCCAACTGTACTTTTGGAATATATGCATTATTATTTCCCAGTCTGAGATAAACTCATGGACCGAAATGCTGAAAATTACAAAACATGTTTCTTTCTCGCAAATGAACCATCATGTTTTTAATGACTGTTGTTTTTTATCTTCTATGAAGGAAACTGAGCCGGTCAGATTTTGGAGATAAAGCCTTATTCTGTTATCACTGCTGCCTTTGAGTCTTACATTGCCCAACATTGAGCTGTATCCCTTGTAGAGCTTCTTCCTTGTAGAGTTTGTAATCACTGGCTACATGACCTTCCCTTGAAATATGAGATGTCCCATTAATAATAATCGAGTAGTCTAAACTGTACAGACATTAATTTCAAGGTAAAGTTAGACAAGTTAATTTCCTTTTATAATCCCAATAAACGAATATGAAAGATTAACCTGAACTGGACAACTTGCAAGCTTTCCATATTTTGGATATTTCATATAAAGTCCAACCTCTGCAGCATCTCCTCTGTGTGTCTCCCATTTCCTGTAGGAATCCTTGTATTTCTTGTAAGATGTTCTTCCTCAGCGTGTTGTACTGCCATTGATGTAAACACATAAACACACCAAACGGTGAGATTTAGAAATGGAATTTATAAACATTTTAAGTAAAGGAAAAATATATTTGTCTCAAAACTGTTGTTGTCCTGTCGTTTTAATTTTATCCAAATTTAATTTATTTTGATAATTTATGAGAAAAAATATTTTAAACCTAAATAACTCTAAACAGAAATGCAGTTCCGTATTTTCTGTTTGTTTCCGATCGGACGAATACTGTCGTTACACCGTATCTCACAAACATCCGCTGTAGCTTGCAGGATTATGAAAGCGTGACAAGTGAATACTTTTTAACTGCGCCACCGGATAGACGCAGACAGATGGCCTGGTTTGCATGGCTTATTTAGGACCTAGGCTGGGACCGTCACGCGTCTTTCTTTCCGGTGTGTCCGCCTTAAGACTCGTCTCCTCTGCCGGGATGGACGATATGGGTCTGACCATGAGTCGTTCTTCGCTCGAGCGGCTCGAATTTGACAACGTCGCCCTCAAGAAACTTCCCCTGGATCCATCCGAGGAGCAGGGGGTGCGGCAGGTGAAAGGAGCGTGTTTCTCCCGGGTGACACCACAACCGCTGACCAAGCCTCGGTTCGTGGCCGTGTCCCACCAAGCTCAGGCACTGCTGGGGCTGGAAGGAGAGGAGGTCATGAACGATCCTCTCGGGCCAGAATATCTCAGCGGATCCAAAGTCATGCCAGGATCTGAACCCGCCGCTCACTGCTACTGCGGACATCAGTTCGGACAATTCGCCGGACAGCTCGGCGACGGGGCGGCCTGTTACCTGGGAGAGGTGAAGGTTCCGCCTGGCCAAGATCCCGAACTTCTCCGAGAAAACCCGAGTGGCCGGTGGGAGATTCAGGTGAAAGGAGCTGGGCTGACCCCGTACTCCAGGTACAAGGGGTTGCTTTCATTGTCAGTTCGAGTGGTCTTTGCAAGATTATGTTTAATTTATTTATTAGGTTAAGAATAAATGTGGCTTAATCTATTTTTATAACTCCACCAGAGAGATTAAAACATGAAAAATACTTTGATTCTCTGTTTTAACAGAGCATATGTGATTGAAGAAAGGCAATATTTAGCAATCAGATACACCTTTTTTGCTGAGCATTGGAAAAAAGTATTTTTCTCTTCCACAGACAAGCTGATGGCCGTAAGGTCCTGCGTTCCAGTATAAGAGAGTTCCTGTGCAGCGAGGCGATGTTCTTCCTGGGCGTGCCCACCACCAGAGCAGGCTCTGTAGTCACTTCCGACAGCAGGGTCATACGTGATGTGTACTACAACGGGAACGCTCGCCACGAAAGATGTTCTGTGGTCCTCCGCATTGCTCCTACCTTCATCAGGTGGGTGCACATTACCTGACCTACTTACTCATATTGACTTTCTATCTGTGTTTAAATGGGATTTGTTTGTGTTCACTGAGCAGGTTTGGATCTTTTGAGATCTTCAAGCCCGCCGATGAGTTCACAGGTCGCCAGGGTCCCAGCTATGGGCGCGATGAGATCCGAGGTCAAATGATGGATTATGTCATTGAGATGTTCTACCCTGAGATCCAAGAGAACTACCCAGATCGGGTGGAGAGGAACGTAGCTTTCTTTCGAGAGGTCAGAGCACGAGTTACACTCTCACCTGTCAGCGTGTAGAGACAGTGAAATGTTGCAGCAAATCAAAAATTGTTGTGTATTCAAGATTTTCTTAGCGCTGTAGGCCTGGAATAACTTTGATAACATTTTTTATCTGATCCATAGAAAGAAGTTATGATGTAATATGCTCAGAGTTGCTCTCAGATTTTAGAGACCTGATGGGATTGCTGTCATCTCCTCCTGTATGTAGGTGGTGCTTCGTACAGCTCGACTTGTGGCTCAGTGGCAGTGCGTGGGATTCTGCCACGGCGTCCTGAACACGGACAACATGAGCATCCTGGGACTCACGCTGGACTATGGTCCATACGGCTTCATGGACAGGTCAGTGTTTAACTGTATGCATGTTAAAATATTCCTGTCACACATGTCACCATCACACTCATTAGGTTAGAGTCACGGAGTCGGAGTGAAACCATAATTATAATACATTAATTATAACGCATTAGGTTTGAGCGCTTCTCATTTCTCTCAGATTTGATCCAGATTTTATTTGTAATGCCTCGGACAACTCTGGACGATACTCCTACCAAGCCCAGCCAGCTGTCTGTAGGTGGAACCTCGTAAAGCTAGCAGAGGCTCTTGCTCCAGAGTTGCCACCAAACCAGGCCAAGGCTGTACTGGAGGAGTACCTGGATCTTTATAACCGTTTCTACTTGGAGAACATGAGGAAGAAGCTGGGTTTGCTGAAGAAGGAGGACCCTGAGGACGAGATCCTGATCACCAAACTGCTTCAGACAATGCACAACACAGGTGGGACTATTTTGTGTTTGATGTGACGAAACATTTAATCTAGTGACAGACTGAGAGTCTAAGAATGCGTGCATACGGCACTGCATATGAAACAGGAAAGGATGCAACATTGTAATAACATTTTTCTGCCTCCCTTCTGCAGGTGCTGACTTCACCAACACTTTCCGTAGCTTGAGTCTGATTTCTTGTCCCACTGAGGAAAATAGCGAGGGAGAAGAGGACTCTGTCAAGAAAGCCACAGACTTCTTGATTGAGCAGTGCGCCTCCCTAGAGGAGCTCAAGGCTGCCAACAAGCCCACGATGGATCCACGGTGAGCTAGCTAATAGTTATACCGCTACACACACACAAGCCCAGCATGTTACGCATCATGGCCAAATTTACTTATTAATATTTTTACTTAAAACTATTAGAATAGAAATAATGACTGTGCCTGTGGTGATAATGTCAAATGTTTTGCTTTTTATTCGGTGTAGTTCATACTGCAGCCTCTGGGTGTCACTAGTGAGGCTTCATATACATCATGTCTTTTACAGTTTATCAGTCTGAGGTTTCTTAAAGCAGCATCTATTGATATTTTTGGTGACTTGAAGGCAGCAGAAAATGATGCAAACATTGATATTATTGTTTCCATTTATTCACCCATCGGTCAATCCATTCCATTTTCATTTTTTAAAATTGGTTTTCCATTTAAGGGTCAAAGGAGTCTAGAACCTATGTGATATGACAAGAGGCAGCGTGCACCTGAGCAGGTTTATCTCAGGGCTAACACAGAGTGACAGTCAACTATTCATCCTGGTATTCTTACGTACAGCCAGTTTGGAGTCACTAGTTCACCTAACTGCACCTCTTTGTGCCGTGGAAGGAAGCCGGAGTAGCCGGTGTGCAGTCACAGAATCTTTTTCCTGTGAGGCAATAATACTAACCACTGAACATAAAGTAAAATTATCACTCATTTTAGGTCACATGCCTATCCATCCAGCATTTTTAACTCTAAAATCTGTCCAGTATCAAGAGGAAAGCAGTAAGAATTGCAGTAAATAAGCAGGCAAGCAGGGATACTGTAACACTTTAACATAGTTTTTGGAAGCACTTCGGACCTTGTTTTGGTTTGCACCCTTTGGGACTGTTTTTTTTTCTTTTCTTTTCTTTTGTTGTTTGGGATCTCAGGAACTGAGACTTTTGGAAGTGATACCCATATTTGCTGTCTGTTGGATGTTATCAGAAACCATATGCCCTTCCCGGATCCTTTACACCCATATCACATGTCCATTTTCCTAAAAGTAGACAAATGCTTCAACAAATTCAACACGGACAATAAATTACTGCCATCACTGACCTTGTTTGCCTTTGTTAGCAGCTGTTGTGCCATAATTTTATTATCCTTCTACTGCCTACCCAGTAGGGCTGCCACGATTAGTCGACTAGTCACGATTACGTCGACTATTAAAATCGTCGA